ATAGCTCAAGGTGAGAAGGGTTATCTGTCAACAAAGACTTTCGAGTTCGATTACATTCAGCTCAAGGACATATCAAATTTGCAGCATAGCTCAAGGTGAGAAGGGCTATCTGTTAACAAAAAAACTGTCGAGTATGATTCCATTCAGCTCGATGACACATCAACCACATGGTAGCATCGAGGAACTACTTTTCGGTTGAAATAGAGATTTTTAAGTCAAGAAGAAGATTTGGGGCTATCTCTCAGCTTAATGCAGCATAACTCAAGGCGAGAAGGGTTATATGTCAATGAAAACTTTCGAGTCTGATTCCATTCAGCTGGATGACGTATCAACTACTTTTTGGTTGAAGTTTAAACCGAGGTCTTTAAGTCAAGAAGAAGACATGGGTTAGCTTTGTTTTAGGGATAAGAAACTATCTTTCAACAACATAACTTAAGTCGAGAAGAACTAATTGTCAACGAAAACTTTCGAGTTCGATTTCATTCAGCTTGAAAGCCTATCAGCCACATGGTAGTATCGAGGAACTACTTTCCAGTTGAATTTCCAAACCAAGGTCTTTAAACCGAGAAGAAGACCGAAGTTGACTACAATTTGGCAACGAGAAGCCACATCTCGATTCAAATTCTGAACTATGGCTTCAATTTCATAACGTTTCAAGATGGACTCGACTTCGCGACCGATGAGTCATTCGCAACTCAATTTAACAGGGAGTTATTCCTAATTGCAATAATAGAGTCAATTTCAACTCCACAAAGGAAGATATTAGACTCAGGGACCCCTTCACACCGAACGAAAATTTGTGTCCTTTTATCTTTGTCATATTTTTCGTTACACGAAAAAAAAGACAAAGAGGGGCAGCTGTAGACACTCATTTTCGTCCGAATATGTTTTTATTTTATTTTTTATATTATTTTTTATATATTTATATATATTAATATAGTATAATTTTTTAAAATAATTTACTGAAAAATATAATATATAATTTTTAGAAAGCGATTTTTGAAAATATATATTATATAGTTTTGAAAACATTTTGAAAATATATATTATATAGTTTTTAAAATTTCTTGAAAACATATATAATATATAGTTTTTGAAAACGTTTTCGAAAATATATATAATATATAGTTTTTGAAAACATTTTTAATATATATATATATATATATATATATATATATATATAGTATTTGAAAACATATATATTATATAGTTTTGAAAACATTTTGAAAACATATATATAATATATAGTTTTTTAAAAATATTTTGAAAACATATATATAATATATAGTTTTTAAAATACATTTTGAAAATACATATATAATATATAATTTCATGAAAACAATTTTAAATATATATAATATATAGTTTTGAAAATGTTTTTGAAATTTTGAAAACATTTTAGAATATATATATATATATATATATTATTTTTTTATTAATTATTTTTAATTTTTATTTATTTTATTTCTTTTGTTTTGTTTTTTTTCCTTTCCAGGTCTAAGTCCAAGGTCCTAAAGAAGGGCCCAACCGGGTAACCTGACCCAACAGACCCGGTTCAGCCCAGCAGAGTCTATTAGGGTTTCATCTCCAAGTCAAACGCACAGCCGATCAAAAGCTATTAGATCTGGCCCTTCGATCTAACGGTTCATATTTCACCAGAGGTGCCCAACGGTTGTTTCAACGACGCCAAGATTTTTGGCCAAAGAAATCGGGACTCACCCATCCCGAAATCCTTGGCCAACAATGAGTAGTGACCGAGATCATCAGAAACGACCACCGGTGGAGGGGTATAAATATCCTCACCAAACCACGGAAAATGGGGGAATCATCGAACCCATCACAACACAAAAAAAATAGAACCATCAACAACTGAAAAAAACAACAGGAAACAATAAGAGGGCCACGATGAACGCGAAAAATCAACAAGCAACATGAGTGAAAAAACACAGCAAGCCACATCGAAGAAACTACATAGGGAGTAATGAAGCAAAAAGCATCTACAACAAACCAAAGAAAGCCAAGGAAAATAATATAAAAAAAATCCAAAGGCCTCGGAGAATAAGGAGCAGCCGAAAAATCGAAAGGTCGCTAGAAAAGGTAAAACCCGAGAGCTTTCCTTTTAGATCTAGGTCGTTTGAGGTTTTTTGTGGTAATCAAATGGTGGTTTTGGGTTCACGAGGTTGGGGGAATATTTTGGCGATAATTAAGTTTTTTTTCGGCCGCCAGAGCGACGGCGGACAGTGGTTGGGTTTCAGTCGACTGTTAAGAAAAGGGGGAGCATTTTAGAGAGGAATGAGAGTTTTTCTTTGGTTTGGGTAAAAATGAATTTTTTTTTCGTTTTTGGGCTATTTATAGGGGAGGGACTAGGTTGTAATTAGCCAATAGTTAAATTATTTTAGCAGTCCTTGGAATTTTGAAGTGTAATTCATTTTGGTCATTGTGTTCAATTTGGCCTATGAATCTTCAATTTAATCAATTCAGTCCCTATTTATAATTTACTCTTTTTTCAATTTAACCCCTCTAACTCTTTATTTTTCTCTTGCAGCTCTTTTTTAGTACCAATTGAATCTATTAATTTCAATTTATTTCAATCTGATCCTCTAAATTTTTATTTTATTTTTTATTTTTTAAAAAATTATTATTATTATTATTTACTACATATTGTTTTATTTTTTATTTTATTTTCCCTCCCTTTGATTTATTTATTATTTGTTTAATATTTTTTACTTTATTTTATTTTTTTTCTTTGATTTGTTTATTTTATTTATTTGTTTTTATCTTTATTTTTTATTTATTTATTTTATTTATTTATTTGTTTTTATTTGTTTTTGTTTTTATTTTATTTCTATGTTTTCTAATTTTTCTAATTTTAACAGCTTTTTAGAGGAATTCCAACCAATCAAAGGTAAGTAATTTGAGTTGGGTTTATGAACTTTAATTTAAATTTTTAATTTTCGCAATTAAGACAACCGACAAATTAATTTGTGTCGAAAGGGCAGTACAAGGGTGCTAATCCTTCCTTGGCTGTAACGGACTCTCGAACATGACACATTTTTGTTAAAATGCAGATTAGGTAAAATAGTGTGTGATCCACCTTAATGTTTTTTAAAATGATCGATGGTGACTTTAACGTGTTCTATTTAAGTCGAAGCCTAATTCTGGACCCACCCAAAAGACGGCCGCGACAATTATAAGATAATATTTATTCATAATTTTTTTGGCAGAAAGGTATTAGAGGCCCCTGAACTTTAAAAAAACCAATGTGGCCTTTACCATTTTTTTTATCAATGTCGCCGTCCAACTTCAAAAAAGAATTCAATGTAGCCCTTTAACCAATGTTTTTCGTCTTTGACCAACGTTTTCCGTTACTTTTTGCTGACGTGGCACGTCAAGCAGCCTAACAGCATATTTGTAGCGATCAATTTAGCCCTCCAACTCACAAAATAACTCAATGTGACCCTTTGGCTCTGTTTAATGTTGTTATAAATAGGAAAATTACACTATTCATCACTCAACTATCTTCTTTCTCCCATTTTAATCACTAAACTTTAAAAAATTTCAATTTCAATACCTCAAATTGCTCATATTTTAATCATCATGACTTATTTTATTAATATTTATGTATGATGTGGCATTCATTATTCATATTTTATTAATATATGATTTAAATAATATTAATTAAATTAAAATTTCAAAATTATGATTGAATAAAAAATATTCCCAAAATTATAATTAAATTAAAATTTCAAAATTATAAACTCTATAAAAGACCAACTTTCTCTTCTCTGTTGCTGGTGAGCGGCGGTTAACGCGATGAGGTCTAACCGAGAATTGGGTTTTCCAAAAAATGATGAAGAACAAAATGAACTTTTCATAGAAAAATTCATGCCCTATTTGATTCAAAATTTTTATGGTAATTAATTTAATCACAATTTTGAAGTTTTAATTTAATTAACATTATTTTAATCATATATTAATAAAATAAGAATGATGAATGTCACATCATACATAAATATTAATAAAATAAGTCATGATGATTATAATATGAGTAATTTGAGGGATTAAAATTGAAAACTTTTAAAGTTTAGTGATTAAAATGGGAGAAAGAAGATGGTTGAGTGATGAATGGTGTAATTTTCCCATTTATAACATCATTAAATAGAGGCCAAGGGTCGCATTGAGTTATTTTGTGAGTTGGAGGGCCAAATTGATCGCTAATAATATGATATTGGACTGCTTAACGTGCCACGTCAGCACAAAGTAATGGAGACGTTGGTCAACGATGAAAAACGTTGGTCAACGATGAAAAACGTTGGTCAAAGGACTACATTGAATTCATTTTTCAAGTTGGAAGGCTACATTGATCCAAAAAACGATAGGGGACATATTGTTTTTTTAAAAAAATTCAGGGGCTTCTGATGCCTTTTTGCCTAATTTTTTTTAATCATTGACAATGTATACACACCTTATAGATACAGTTGATTAAATCTGAAATCTCGTTGCAGTGACATCTGGGGGTGCTTAAGGAGGAAGATGATGTAACCAAGAATAAGTTGTTGTGACTGTTAATTTTCGTCATACGCGTTCATTAATGAGTCGATCAAAAGTTATAGCTGACATTTTTTCCTTTCGCTTCTCCATACCCATTTAGTGTTTTCATGTCATATGTCGATTTATGTTATTACACTTATTGCATGTTTATGGTATGTTTATAGAAGAAGAATAAGGAGGAGGAGGAGGTCAAAAAGAAGGAGACGAGGACATATGGATTTTTTTTTATTTGTTAATTTAGACTTTCATTAATGATTTAACGGGACTAAAACCGAACGAGTCAATAACATGAGGGATAAAATTATTTTTTAAACTAATGACCAAAATCAAATAGACTAAACAAATAAGGGACTATCCGTATTATTTACCCTTTGTTGTATCAGCCGTATCATAATTTGGATGTGCCCACCATAAGATGAGAGGCCCAGAAACGTTGAATGACTTTGAAGGCTGAGCCACCAGAAATTAGGATTGTGGCCATTGGTGATTTGTGCTGCCTGGAGGCCGTCCGAGACGAGCACGAGCACCGTTTGGAGAAAAAGAAACACTAACTACCAAAAAAACCACCAAATGTCATCATCCATTTGCCTATCCTTATCGCCGACTTCCAAAACCCTAACGCTGCGCTCCACTTCCATTAACCGCGGTTGCAGGCGCTCCTTAGCAGTCTCCGTTTCTGACGGCCATAAACCGACGTGGAGAAAGAGGCAGCAGGTGGTTTCTATGGCTCCGGAGGAAGAGAAATTGACTCGCCGCAATCCCCTCGATTTCCCCATCGTAAGTTCCTTTTCCCTTTTTCTCTCATTGAGCTATAAGTATTATTCGCTTGCTTACTAATAGGCGACGGAGATTTCAAGTTCTCTGCACTCGGCAGTCTAGAGAATTCCAATTATTTTGTGCAGCAATACTCTGTTGGAAATTGTTGTTTGGTTAATGGTGTACTGGTTAGATAATTCTGTGACTTCAATCATTCAAGAAAGTAAGGAACAGTAATACCAGGTTATTTATTTTCATCAAGTAGTCCAAATCGAAAAGAAATTGAATTCTCCTTGGTTTTCCCTATCGAATTAGCTGATTTCAAATATCATAATGCTTTCAATAGTCATATACGTAAGCTTGATAGCTAGATGTTTATCTCAAACAGAATTCAATCTTTAAAAATAAAACCTGATCAAGTTTGAGCTAAACTTTAAGTTTCAAATTAGAATCTAGATCGAGCTCGAGCTTCTTGGATTTTGAGCTCGGTTTGAATACACCCCTAAATCTCATAATTTAAAATTTTAGTAGTTGGATACCTTTATTTAGTTTTCATCATGAAAATGAATTCTTTTTGATGCCACTAACTTAATCAATATTAAATTTTCATGTGTTTGGCGAATGCCAGGCCAGCATTTTGAAGAACAACCTACTTGATTCATGATAATTTAATATTATCTATAATACCACCTTAGCTTTTTTATGCAATGACATTAATCGGTTGAATACAAATTCTAATACTTGTATAGGTTTACTGAATGTGTAGGATTATGAAAAGCAATATGTTTAAATACGAACACCTTGGTTATACATTGCAGGAGTGGGAGAGGCCTAAACCAGGGCGCAGACCCGACATTTTCCCCCAATTCAGCCCCATGAAAACACCATTACCACCACCAATGCCATATGATCCCCCTGAAGAAGATGAAGAAGAAGATGAAGAAAAAAAAGAAGAAGAAGAGGAAGATCCCGAAAAGGAAGAACCCGAAAACCCTGAAAAACAGTCCTGAAAAACAATAGTAGGTTTTTGAAGGGTGAAAACACCAACCTTGTTCAATTTTGTTCCATTGAGTTTTGAGAAGGTGGTGGTACCATTTGCTTATGCTCTTAGGTAGATTGAATGAGATGTAACAGTAATCTATTTTGGACCCTGGTGGCCTGGTGTGAGTGAAATCTCATAATTTGAGTGGATATGGGACATATTCAGATTGATTCATCAGGAAAAACTTAGGCCTCAGTTCATGCTTTTGTAGTTTCAAACTTCACTAGTCTTTTGAGATTTATATAATTCTGTTTTGAATCTTCCGCAATCTGGTGCCTACACTGAAACAACCCCGGGTGCTTCGCTGGTGAACATAGACATTGCTTTATCGTCGAACCACGTCCACCACTATCATCTCTGGAAACAGCCATTCTTGGTGCATTTCGGGTGGCGACAAACATTGATGCTTGCAAAAGTAACCATCTGCGTCGCACTGCCCAGCCATGTTTTCCTGCGGAAGGAATGGTTGCGTAACACATTTTATAAACGGAGCTTTGTTGCAGTGCGATTATATATGAGAAAGAAAGGTATAAGGTGAGGTGGGCAAGAAAATTTGTGGACATAAAAGTAAGGGTGTAAACGAGCCGAGTCGAGCTCGAGTATTGCTGATCTCGACTCGACTCGAAAACTCTGAAATTGAGCTCGACTCGAAAACTCGCGAGCTTAAAATTTTCAAGCTCGACTCGAACTCGAAATCCTGAACTAAAGTTCGTGAGCAGCTCGAAATAAAAAAAAAACTTAAACTTAACTCGATTGAAGTCTCAAACTCGAACATGAACCTTAAATATATAAAATCTTATTGTATTTGTTTTTCCACTGAGGACAATTCATAACGGAGGTCTTTCACGGAAACTGTTCTTAATTTGGCGTTATTAATAATTTATTTTTTAAAAAAAAATTTTAATATATTATATTTTCGAGCTGCTCACGAGCTTTTCGAGTCGAATATCGAGTAGTTCGTTTCGACTCGTTAAGAACTCGAGTCGAGCTCGAGTCGAATCTATTCGATCCAAGTATTTATCGAGCCTTGATCAAATTATTCTCGAGTAGCTCACGATCTATCTCGTCTCATTTACAGTAATACATAAAAGTTATTTTCCTTTTACATTTTGATTGATTCATCTTCAAAGCTTCGAGACCAAAAGCGTCAGCTGTTCGTACGTCCACTTGTCCACAAACATGGCCTAATAAACTAGACATAATAATCTTCAACACAATAAAAAAAAAAGATAACAATATTGATGGCAATTTGAATTGAATATTCAAACATCCCTATATTATGGATTAAGGCGTATAATTATTCTTTATTATAAATTTGAAATAGATATTTGAATTTTATTTTATACTATAAAATTCAAATATATTTGTTTATAAAGGGTTTAAATTTTGATCTAAAATTTTAATAGATTTGGATTTAAATTCTTACAAATTTGAATATTTGATGTTGTAATTTAAAATATAGAATCTAAATTTTTACAAGTTTAATTATCTAAAGAATAATGGTATTTAATTTCAATTTATATAATCTATAAATAATAACAAATTATATATTTCATCACTCAGCTTCTTCTCACTCATATTTTGATCAATAAAAACTTTCAATTTACTCACTAAGCTTATGATTTGCTCCTATTTTGGTTGTTTCCGTTGTTCAATATGTCTGGGCATTTTTCTTTTAAAATTATACAATGATCCCAAAATTTTATTCAATTTTTGTGAAAAAAAAACTCCTAGTTTAGAATTTTATTTCATTTCTCGATAATGAAGCATTTTCTTCAAAATCTCAACGATAGTGAGGTAGAGGAGGAAGCAAGTTATATATATTGATTCGACGCTGATCGAATAGTATATATTATATATTAGAGTAGTTTGAGGTTTCATGACTTTTGAATTTAGGGTTGAGTTATATGAGTTTTAAAGTGATTTAAGTAAAATCTAAACTGATAGAGTGGATTGAGACAATGAGACAAGTTTGTTGATGTCTAGAGTGGTTAAAGACAAAAACTAAACGTTAGGTATGATTTTGAAAAGAATAAAAGTTTAGATACTAAAACGGACAAAATCTACTAATTTAGGTACTAAATGCATAGTTTACCCTTTTTCCAAAAAAATTAAGAACTTCTTTAGAAAATTCAGAAATAATGAGAAAAAACCAAAAGATATACAATTGTTTTTAAATATAATTGTTTTGAGTTTATTAATTATTTTTAAAACATTAAATTGTTATATTTTTATAAGTATTTTTAATTTAAAAATGATTTTATATACTTTTTATAGTATCGTATTATTTTTAAATATTTTCGAAAGCTGTTAAAATTATTTTCAATTATTTATAGTTTAAAATGTTTTTATACTTTAATGACTTTTAAAAAAATTTATTTAAAGTGTCGATGTGCTATTGTTCTATGGGTTGAGATCCAATCGATTATTATTATTGTCGCAACCGTCTTTTGGGTGGGCTCGAAATTAGGCTTCGACTTAAATAAAATATGTTAGAGCCGCCACCTATCATTTAAAAAATATTTAGGTTGATCGGACATCATCTTACCTGATTTGCGCTTTACCAGAAATATGTCGGATTCGGGAGTCAGTTACCGTCAAGGAAGGATTAACACCCTTGAATTGCCCTTTCGGTTCCATTTTAATTTGTTGGTTGTCTTAATTACGAAAATTTAAATTTAAATCGACATTTAAAAATTCAATTCAAATTGCTTACCTTTGATCGATTGAAATTACTATTGAAAAAGTCGAAAAAATGTTAGATGGTAAAATAAAAGAAATATCAAATAAAAATTAAATAAAAAGAAAATAAATAAATTAATTAATTAAAGAAGGATATATTAAAAATAAAAAATAAAAATGTTATATATAAAAAATGTTAAAAGAAAAATAAAACAAAAGAAGAAAATATTTAATTTCAAGAAAAAATAATAAAAAAATATAAAAAATGTTAAAAGAGAAAATAAAAAATAAACAAAACAAAATAAAAAAAGAGTGGGAAAATAAAAATAGAACAAACTAAAAAATAAAAAAATGTTAAATTTTAAAGAAAATACAAATAAGGAAAAAATAAAGGATCCACTTGAAATGAATTAAAATTCATGGATCAAATTAATTCTAAAAATGAGCTGCAAGAGAAAAATAAAAGGTTAGGGGACTAAATTGTAAAATACAAGAAGTATAATCAATGATCAAATCGAAATAATTCAAAATTCAAAGGCATATTTATAACAGGTGACCAAAATGAATTACACATCAAAAGTTAAGGGACTACGAAAATAATTTAACTATCTCCTATATGCACAAAGGTCCCTCATCTATAAATAGCCAAAAATACAAAAAAATATCATTTTTAAACCAAACCCAAAAAAAAAACCAAACCTCTAAAAAAACCTCTCAACTCTTCAACCAGCCCCTATGGCCGGCCACCACTCCGGCGAAACTCCGTCGCGTCGACCGTCGCTCTAGCCACAGCCTCCGGTAGTCGAAAAAATCAAACTTACCCACAAGCTTTCTCTCGACCCCCTGATACCGAATCTGACCTCGAAACAACGTATGACCTCTAGATCGAAGCATATCTAGCCTAAAAGTTACGGTTTTACATTTTTTGACGAAAAATCCTCTTCATTTTTTGGTGACCCTTCCTCTTCCGACGCTCATCGAAGGCTACTGTTTTTGTTTTATGCTCTTTATCCGTATTTTTTGTTGTTGTTTCTTGCTTTGCTTTTGCTTGGTGGTTTAGTTGCTTGTATTTGTGGTTTTCTCTCGTTGTTGTGTTTGCTCTGTGATTTTCCTTGTGTTCTGTTCGTTGCATGGTCGGATGCTTTTATAGCCCCGTAACCGGCCGTTGTGGTTCTGAATATTTTGGGTTGCTGTCGATTCTTCCGGGATGGTTCAATCCTGGTGATTGTGCTTGACTCTTAATGGTTGGTCTTGGTTCCGATTTTTCTGTGATTTTGGCTTAAAGTGCCGAGGATTTCGGTCGGTTAGTAACTTGACTGGCGCGTGTTGTTACCGGTTTTTCTTGATGGATTCTGACCGTTGGATCATACGGCCAGATCCAACGACTCATGTTCGCTGTGCATGGGTATGTGTGAAAACCCAAACATATCTCGGGTCTCTTGTTTGCCCGGTTTACCTGCTGGGTATTTGGGCTTTACCCGTTCTCGGTCTGCTGGGTCAGGCAGACTTGGACCCTTACTTTCGTTGGACTCATTTTGGACGCTCTTATTGGACCTTAAACAAAAATAAAAAAAATAAAAAAAATAATAAAATAATAAATAGAAATAAATAATATTTATATAATATATAATTAAAATTAAAATTAAAATCATTTTAAAACTATATATTATATATACTTTCAAAAATTGTTTTCAAAACCATTTTCAAAAAATATTTTTAAAACCATATAATATATATTTTCAAAAATATTTTCAAAATTATATAATATATATTTTCAAAATGTTTTCAAAATTATATAATATATATATTTTCAAAAATCGTTTTCTAAAAACTATACTATATTATTATATATAAAAAAAAACTCCGGACGAAAATGAGTGTCTACAATTATATGCATTATTTTTAATACATTAATCATTAATATATAAATGTGCAAAATCCATTAATAAATTATATTGATAATATTTATGAATAGTGATAAATAGTAATCAAATTTGTATTATAATAATGAATGTAGAAAAGATAATGGATGAAAGCTTCAACTTGTCCTATGTATTTTGCATTTGTTTTTCTTCTTGATTTTAAAATCACATTTATTTTATATTTTTTTTAGTAAAGACATTTTATAAATTATTTTTATTTTTAAATTGAGTAAACAAATTAATTTAAAAATAAAATTTAATCTTATTAATTTCGAAAGTGAGTCATTAATAACAATTAATCATAATATTATTTTTTTATTAATTTTATATAATTTGATTAATATAATAATAAATCTAATATTCAACATTTATGTATTATGTAAATTTAATTTAATTTTTTTAAGAAAAATCATAAATTTCGCTCTCGATACTTATATAAGATATAAATTATATATATATATATATATATATATTTAAATTAAGGCTAGATTAATAAAATGTATAAACATTAATGATTAAATTTATCAATATATTAATTAAAATTA